ATGTAAATGTAGTAACCGAGTTTTTTGCAAAAATACTTTGTGAAGACATGATTGGATAGTATTCAATAAAATAAATTATGCGGAAAATAAAAAAAAGTTTGTAGTATTTATACTATTTCAAAAATTTTTAATGATGTCATTTGATTAATGTAAATTGTTTAGTAATATTGATTTATTTCCGTTTGAAACAACAACAACAAAAAGATAATACTAATATGTATTGTGTATGGTGATCACCTTGCACATATCTGAAAGAAAAGATGACAAATTTAATGTTGAATTATACAATGCAGTTTTCCTAAATTTAATTGTGTGTAACTATTACAAATTAACATTACGTGCTTTATTTATTGTTATTTTAAAATGATTGATAATGTACAAAAGTGGATTAAATCGTGTGTATGCTAATACATAATAATAATTCTTGGGTAATCCGTGGACAATTTTTCCATCGAAAAAGAGTCTCTATGATAAAAAAGGGCGCTCAATATCAATGTGTTCAGGACAGAACTTATGTTCGTCTATTTGAGACCTTGTTGACACGAGCGGATTTTTGATGTAGTAGATTTACAAAATTTGGGCCTTTAAACTACACTCCCTGGAAGAAAGTATCCGAATCTTGTTTCTATTAAATTACGCAGGACCCAAACAATCATATTAGGGGAGGAGTCCTAGCCATGTTATTTTTGGTAAATTACAATGTACGAAAACTTTAATTTTTTTTCCAAATCTTTAAAACGTACGAAAAGAGACCAAAAAGTATTGAATCGCATAATGATGGCATCTTACATCAATGTTGTGACCAATTGAGAGAGGTAGAAAAAGCAAAAAATAATGAGATAATTTTCTAACAAAAATGTTTCGAAAATCGTACCGGTTACATAAAACTTCCAAAAATGGATGTATGAGATTTCAAATCGAACTTTTATTGTGACTAGAGTCCAGGGGTCTAAAAACCCCGGAAAACCCTCCTGAATGCTAAGAATTTTCCGGAAGGAAAATTTAAAAAAAGGAAATTTTTTTTCAAATTTAAGAATTTTCTTTATTTTATACTTTTGTTTTTACTTTGAAGAAGATTACTAAGAGCATCACTAAAATCATAACAAAATAAACCAGTACCTTCTAAACCAACCGTCACTATTAAATGCAATATGTCATTTTCCATTGCATTACATAAATCTGTTTTGATTTTGATAATATTCTGTTTGCTAAAACCTCTTTCACAATCTACACTAGAAAATGAAATTGAGTGCACTATTTCTATAAGTTTTAAAATATAAATAAGACTTGGAAGTTTGGAAATTGGAATATTTTCTTTTGCCATCCAGTAAATCATTTT